TGCGTTTCAGTAGCAGTAGCTCTGTGTTTTTCTAAGGCTTTTCACACCTGTGTCTAAGACACACAACTGTTGTGAGTCAGTTTACTTTGGAACTATCGAACGGTTCAGGGCGGGCCAATAGGAGCGAAGCACGTTGTTCCAAAGGACTGTATGGGGATGCTGGAAATCAGTTATCAGTCAAATTTTCAGCGATTTCTCAGCCATTAGTTTGTATTTATCACACTCCTGCTATCAGTAAAAAATTGCCGACCTCACTGAGGTACGATACGGCAGTAAAATACAAGTTATATGTCGGCTGATATAAATGGGGGATTAAACCCCATCATGGCCTGTTGTAAACGGGACTCTTTTTCACTGCCGTGACCGAAATATTAATTATATCACACTTAAAGATTTACCCTGAAATATTACCCCATTTATTTTGCCATGAACTAGCTAGATAGATCCCCTCTACTCTCCTAATAACAAGTAACCGGAAGTGGACAAATAGTCTCACCGTATCCATCGTAATTGCTATGATCATCAACCAAAATTATTTCCTTCAAATACTCCGGCGGCGACCGGGCTAACACTGTGTGCACTGTTCGTAAAAGGGTCGACCACGCTTCGTTGTGAAAAATTATGACAACACTGGCGCTAGGAAGCTTTGTTGGGTACTTGATACTTAGACACCTGTGAAGGAAAACAACCGGAAACACATTATTAGCAATGTAGCGTGACACGACTACAAAGTTGGATTATAATTTGCATATTCGAATTGCGTAAATCTTGAGCTTTGAAGAACTGGAAGTGAAAGCAAAACGAGTATTAAATGTTCTCTTTTCTCTTGGAGTTAAGAACTGACGAATATGAGAATTAAAGAATTAAAAATTCGTAGTCAAAATAAAATTTCCGCTTAATACATGTAGCTAGATAGCATTTAGAAATACATATCACACGGCTGTCGATGTGTTTGCTAATTTAATGCGGAAAATTTAGGTACTCGAAGCGTATTAATCAACATTCCGTTCAGATAATCTGAAGAATACTATCCTTTATAGCTTTCTTGTTGCTTTTGCGTGCCTTACTAAGACAAATCTCGATCTGGTTGCATCCTTTGTTGCCGATCACCTACTGTTTTGTCTTCGATCTGTAAGAACCACCAGTATTATAATTCCACGACTGAGTAGACATTACAGAAGTCAATGCTGACCACCTTGAAATGTGTGGTCTGTTAAAAACTGTAACTTTCACGTCTACCGCTAGAACATTCAAATAAAGCAAACTCTATTCAAAATTGCGCCAAAATATTTTCAAACAACCACCATTTGATCTTTGATCGCCGTAAAACAGGTTGATAAATATTTTATTCCGGCATCAATTTTAAGGCTGAGCGAACTATAGCCCGAAATATTGTTTCGCCGCTGGAAGAGTCAAAACTATGAAGAACAACAAAGTGCTGGAAATACTTAAGCTACGATGTTAAAAGCAATGATTTTCTAGAAAAGGTTACATTTGGTTTAAATTAACTTACTCTCGCGGTCGATTATCGGGGATAGCTCTCTCCAATGAAATCTTAGCGCTTGCCAATTCGTTGAAACTGTATTTTTTGTAGCCTTCCTTTTCCTTGCTCACTTCAGCGGGATCGTCTTTGCTGTTATAGACTGCTATCCCTTGTTCTCCCGGTCCAGCGGGAATCGGGGGAATCCTCGTCACGTAAAAAGACCTGAAGTCTTCGATCGACAATTCGTATGAGGTTTCCGACGCGACCACAGGCTTCCATGCCTGAGGAAGTTGATTCTTCGCTTGTGAGAATTCAACGTTTAAACGGTTCGTATAACTCAACAGTATTAACTCTATTGTCAGCCAAAACGCTGAAGTGAAGAAAATTGTCACGACCACATATCGTCTCCTGGTTGAATAAATCATTTCTACGGACAGTCATTTCATTCGAGAAGCATTGTTCCGCTTAAACAACCAGAGCGCCGTGTGCCAAATCACACGGAACGGCAAATCTCAAATTTGTTGAAGCGCCAACTCACAATGAAGTGCTTTCAAGATCTTGAAAAATTAACCGTGGAACGAACTAGCAACGGGTCCATGTTGTCCCTCCTCTCTCTTGTCAACAGATTGCTTGTGGTTTGAGAATCGAGAGCTAAAAGTATGCCAAGTAACTACTTACGCAAGAGTGACTTCTGTTGCGTGAAAGAGCCGTCAACTTCCGGTCTCGACACTATCGTTGAAAACTTCAAAACGAGAATCCCCGGTTAATGTCAACGAATGTATTTAACGATGAACTTTTGGATAGATAATGGAGCACTGCACGTTAAACAGTACAGATCGACGCTAGTCTGGCGACGCTGGCTGGGATATGGAAATATAATGTCCTGTCACGTAAAATTCTTGCGTAGACACGTGTCACGCAAATATGAGGTACGCTATGTGTACATGTGGCTATTCTGGTAAGACGATTATCAAAACCAAAATCCCCGCACAGCAAAATTCAAACAAAGAGTATCGTAAAAAGTGAGCCATCAAAGTATGCAACAATATCAAAAACTGCACAAATTAACCCAATGGTTGGAAAAAAGATTGTAGCTCAGGAAATAAAAAAAAGATAATCATCCCAGCCAGTAGCCTTCTACGCAGACGCTCTTTGGGCTTGTCACGCAATCTTAAGTGACGAGCTTCTGCGAAGGAAACTACTCCGGCTACAAATCCCAGCCATTCACACACAATCAGAGGTCATTGTATGAACAAGAATCTAAACATAAGTCAGATTCGAAACTCATCTCCAAATAATTTGTCGATAGTCTGAGCCTCTCAGGAAACTCCGACACATTAATAGAAAATCGAAATTACCTTCTACTCACAAAAAAACGTCTTCAATAAATACCATCAAGATTCTGATTCTCAAACTCAGATCTCCCAATCTCTCACGGTCAACCGTCGAACAGAGTGATAGCCGGGTACCAGATAAGATTCTGGCTTTACAGATTAGTTCTGGTGACAATGTTCTCCAGGATTGCAGGCTAATGAGATACATGCTCCTTATGACAAGAATCACAAAGTGTCCTCATTCCTAAAAAGTCACCAAAACACACATAACTCTGTCAAACATAAAGTAACAGATCTATGAAAATGACACTTTGTGATGCATTTTATATAGAGTTTGCATCTCATAAGCGTTTAATACCGGACAGAAATGTGAAATCCAGTGGCGACAGTTACTGCGGGACTAGCCTCGTCCAAGCGTTTTGGTTAGTTTGGGCGCAGCGTGGTAAACTACGAGCGAAAAAACAGAGGGGAAGCGCGGTGAGAGAAAGCCGCTGTTCTCCCCTATTCTTTTAATTTTGCTCGCCGTTTTTCACACTGCGCTGCAACTAAATGAACGCCTGTAAGAGACTAGTTACTGACATACCGGAAGATGTCAACATGATGTATATAAAACGAAGGAAATTATTTTTTGTAAAACAAATGTTTTCTACTATGATATGTTCTTTTGAAACATCTACCTTAATTTTCTTCTCTGTCTGTCTCTGACTGTCTCTCTCTGTCTGTCTGTCTGTCTCTCTGTCTGTCTCTCTGTCTCTGTCTCTGTCTCTGTCTCTGTCTCTCTGTCTCTCTGTCTCTCTGTCTCTCTGTCTCTCTGTCTCTCTGTCTCTCTGTCTCTCT